CACACACACAGACACACACACACACACACACACACGCACGCACGCACGCACGCACGCACACACACACACACACACACACACACACACTGGTGGTGGTGGTAAGGCACAATGTGGCCACGACACAGGGCCCTCTGACCACTATCAGCAGGCAAGGTGGGTGGAGTGTCTTGCCCAAGGACACAATGACTGAGACGGAGGGGTGGGGGGTTAGAACCAGCAACCTCCCCAGTTATAGGATAAAACCCTACTTCCTGTTGCGACTGTCCCCCCCAACACAGATGTGAAGCAGTCCTCAGAACCATATACAACATTTCAGTTAGGTATTTCACAAGAATGACAAAATCTAAGGATTTAAATTTGGAGTTTGTAAAAAAAGGAAAAAAAAAAGAAACCAAAATAAAAAAAATCAGACACTGTTGTATTTCTGAACAGTCCAATGTTCATTTTTCATCCATTTCTATAATGTGATGTATTTTTCTTCATGGTTTGATTTAGAACATAATGAACAGCGTTCTCAATGCAGTGATAAAAAAAAAAAATTTCTAAGGATTTTGAGCTTTGCTCACAATTCAAACATATTTTGAACACCACTGCACAGTGTATAGCAAATTAACTTTTGGATTGAACCCAATTCAAGATGGCTGCTACTGCACCTTAGCAAACACATAAAAGGCATTAAATAAGCAAACTTTACAGGTTCTGACATAACACTTGGAGTATTACTACCTGTAATTTTTTCCCAACACATACAGTACTTCAAACAAACTTCAAACAAATCATCATTTCTTCAAGGAATGATATAACTTTCATTTTTAGTGTGTCCAGTGTGCTCCTTTATAAACAGTTCACCACTAAAAAACCTGTGTATAAATGGCTTATTGAAAGGTGAGTTCAGATGTTTGCCATCCGACTGCTTTTTCTTCACAAACAATATCAGCGAACAAAAGGACACAGTGCCTGCAGGTCACTGCCTACTCAGTTCAACTGATGCTGCTTCTGAAGGTGCACTGGGATACAGGTAAAGATTTGATGCAACTGACAGGAGCACAAGGACATATACGCCTTTTAAAGAAAACAACATACCAGAAATATTAATGCAAATGTCAACAAACTAAAAGGSACATGTTTAAGTTCTGTAAAAAAGGGCATGGATACTTATCTTGCTGTAAATAGCTCTTTGAACAACCTTTTACACTACTGTCAGTTTCACATTACAGTTATTTACATAGGATTATGTGGTTATTTGATAGAAAAAAGAGCAGCAGCTTCTGTGGCACACACAGCCTGGAGCACTTCTAACAAAATATTAATGTTTGTCTATGATTGAAATGCAAAATTGATTGTTATGTTCAGGTTTATAAAGTTGCATTTGTTATGACTGAAATGAGTTATTTGATGCTGGAGTTGTTTTAAGATGACTAGGTGTAAACTCATCAATCAACTCAGGAAAAAAACACTATTTCCCCAAACTGAGGTTGTTCAAAGACCTGTCAGGTAAGACATTGCTCAAAACATTCTACAGAACCTTGCATCAAAACTTTGAACTATCCCTTTAAGCAGACAGAGCACAGACTTGTGTCTCTCCTTGAAGGCTTACGCATAAATGGAGTTGTTGAAGACTCGGGACAGGGCGTAGTTGATGTGACTGACCATGTGATCCACTTGGTCCTGGGTCTGTAGTCTGAGTGAGTACGTAGTCTTGTCTGTATCGATGATAACCTGTATAAGGACAAAGCAGTTGTTGTTTAATATATATATATATATTAGTTAATTAATTGATAATACATAAACACAAGATATCTGTCCAACCTGGTGTTCTGGATAGGTGTTCATTGCTCTAATTTCCAAAAAGTTGAAAGTGACCTCCACCTGAAAACAACACAAAAGAACTTATTGTGCTTCCTGCTAACACTGATATTTTCACATTTTATTAATTATTTTAAGTACAGAAACATATTTTTAGACTTTTCATCTTTTTTTCTGTTTATTTATTTATTTATTTTTTGTTTTGCCAACTTTTTTTGTACTCAAAGTATCTGACAGTAAAACTATTGTCACATTTTAAGCAAACAACCAAGCTGGCTCCACTTAGACCATGACTTCAATAAAATGCAGTGGTGGAGAAAGTACTCAAACACTGTACTTAAGTAAAAGTACAGATAAACAGACAAAC